AGATCTCTTCAAGAAATTGGAGATATGAAGGGAACATTTCATGCAAAGATGGGCATGATAAAGGACCAAAATGGCAGGGCCCTAACAGAGGCAGAAGAGATTAAGAAGAGGTGGCAAGATTACACAGAGGAACTATACAAGAAAGAGCTTAACATCTCTGATAACCACGATGGGGTGGTCACTGACCTCAAGCCAGACATCCTGGAATGTGAAGTCAAATGGGCCTTAGGAAGTCTGAGCAACAACAAAGCTAGTGGAGGTGACAGTATTCCAGCTGAGCTATTCAAAATCTTAAAAGACAATGCAGTAAAAGTGCTACACTCAATATGCCAGCAAATTTGGAAAACTCAACCGTGGTCACAGGATTGGAAAAGGTCAGTTTACATTGCAATCCCAAAGAAAGGCAATGTCAAAGAATGTTCAAACTATTGCACTCATTTCATATGCTAGCAAAGTTATGCTCAAAATCCTACAAGCTAGGCTCCTGCAGTATGTGGACCGAGAACTACCAGAAGTACAGGCAGGATTTCGAAGAGGGAGAAGAACTAGAGATCAAATTGCCAACATACACTGGATCACTGAGAAAGCTAGGGAGTTCCAGAAAAACATCTACTTCTGCTTCACTGACTATGCTAAAGCCTTTGATTGTGTGGATCACAACAAATTGTGGCAAGTTCTTAAAGAGATGGGAGTACTAGATCATCTTATTTGTGTCTTGAGAAACCTATATGCGGGTCAAGAAGCAACAGTGAGAACTGGGCACGGAACCACTGATTGGTTCAAAATTGAGAAAGGAGTTCGGCAAGGCTATATACTGTCGCCCCGTCTATTTAACTTATATGCAGAGCACATCATGAGAAAGGCGGAGCTAGATGAATCACCAGTTGGAATTAAGATTGCCGGGAGAAATATCAACAATCTCAGATATTTATTTTTATTTATTTATTTAAAACATTTTTACACCGCCCCCATTGCAACGAAGCCTCGGGGCAGCTCACAACAGGATACAAAGTACATGAATACATAAATAATAACAATATAACAATTTTCAAAAAATTGTTTAAAAGCCCCCGGTGCATCTCAGCTAAAATTTTAAAATCCTATTAATTCAAATAATTTAACAATTAAAATAAGTTTTAAATAAAAAGGTCTTAGCCTGGCGCCGAAAAACAAATAACGACGGCGCCAGGCGGACGATATGCAGATGATACCACTCTCATGGCAGAAAGTGAAGAGGAACTAAAGAGGAGAGCACAAAAGTTGGCTTGAAACTCAACATTAAGAAAACTAAGATCATGGCATCTCATCCTCTCACTTCCTGGCAAATAGATGGGGAAGAAATGGAGGTAGGGACAGATTTTATTTTCCTGGGCTCCAAGATCACCACAGACGGGCACTGCAGCCAAGAAATTAAGAGACACTTGCTCCTGGGCAGGAAGGCTATGGCAAATCTAGACAGCATACTAAAAAGCGGAGACATCACCCTGCCAACAAAAGTGTGTATAGTCAAGGCTATGGTTTTCCCAGTTGCAATGTATGGCTGTGAAAGCTGGACCATAAGGAAGGCTGAGCGCAAAAGGATTGAGGCCTCTGAATTGTGGTGCTGGAGGAGACTCCTGTGAGTCCCTTGGACCGCAAGGCGATCAAACCTGTCAGTCCTAGAGGAGATCAACCCTGATTGCTCTTTAGAAGGCCAGATGCTGAAGATGAAACTCAAATACTTTGGCCACCTAATGAGAAGGAAGGACTCCCTGGAGAAGAGTCTAATGCTGGGAACGATTGATGGCAGAAGAAGGGGAGGGCAGAGAATGAGGTGGCTAGATGGAGTCACTGAGGCAGTTGGTGTGAGCTTAGGTGGACTCCGGGAGATGGTGGAGGACAGGAAGGCCTGGAGGATTGTTGTCCATGGGGTAGCGATGGGTCTGACTCGACTTTGCAACTAACAACAATGCTTATAATGGCATAACCAGTGCTTGTGGTTTTGAGAGCACGTAAAACCACAGAAGTATGATGCAAATTTCAACCTACTAAAATGATCATTACTACTACTATTACTGAGTCATCAAGCACAATATAGTCTCTCAAAGGTCTTCTGTAAAAATCGCACCAGCTTGTTAGATATTGGCTGAATTGTCCATAGTGACTGTTAGATAAAAGTGAAGATTTTGAATTCACTTCAACAAAAGAGGATTTTGAAATTATAGTGCATTTTCTTTGTGAAGCACTTTGAGGAAAAACACGTTTTTTTAAAAAGCCACTCATAACTCTTTAATATTAATTTAACAGATAAACACAAATCTAGTCACTTAATGGCGTATGTATATTCCTGTGTTGCATATGCTTGTTCCCAATACACGCACTTCCCTCTTGCTTATGTTTATTAAACTACACAGCGCATCACCAGTCCCACTCAACTCCAACCCAGCATTCTGCTTTAACAGGAGCCCAAACCCGTTACCACTTCTGCGCCTTTCAGTGAAAGAAAAGTCGCCGCCGAAGACATCTCTCTAGGCTCACCCACCCCAACGGACTCACTCGCTAGCCGAGAAGCTAATGCCGCAACACCACCGTCTTCTGTGAGGAGACAGCAACTCCCACAAGTCACCTCCCACCACAATTGTCCGAGCGTACCGACTGAAGAAACGTCAAAACGACACACACACACAGAAAGACCAAAAAAATTCTCGCGAGACTGTTCTACGCTCTGAAGGTCATCGTCGCATCTCGCGCGAGAAAAGGTCGCGCGCACGTTCCCTCATCTTCTCTATTGCAGTTTCATACATCCGCTCATTAAGTAAACCTATCCATTCTTTTCCCGGAAATCTCAGATTCACCCCCCAATTTCAAAGCCCCGATTCACATCTCGCGAGAATTTTCTTTTAAATCCTCCTACCTTCTTCATCCACAAAATCCCGCGCCATTTTCATAGAAATCTCGCGAGGTTTATATAGGCTTCCCCTCCTCTCGTAGAACACGATGCGACGCAGGAATGTGAAAGGCTCCCGCCCGCCGCCATTTTCTTTCTTTCTTGGCAGGCAGAGAGCGCGGTAGGAAGTGGCGAAGCGGACATGTCGGATTATTCAACGGTACCCCCTCCTTCCTCGGGTGCGCCCGGTGGAGGCGGAGGAGGTGGCGGGGCAGTCAATGATGCTTTTAAGGACGCGCTGCAACGGGCTAGACAGGTGTGTATTGTGGGTACCAGGTAGTGGATGCTAATTCTATGGCCGACCTGGCTCCTCAGGCAGGCATCTGAATTCTCTCCGCCGCTGAGCCGCGGGCGCAAGACGGCAGGCACGCCCTACCAACACCTGTAGGCCTCAGAGGCGTTCCAGCTATCCTTATAAAAGACTGGTGCGAGTTCTTATTGGGCCTTTTCAGCATTACCCGCGGTTAACACCATGATCATCTCCTTGAATACAAAGACATGGCAAGTCTTGTACCTCCGTTACGGCCGCGCCCAGTGAGAGAGGACCAGGGAAAGAAGAAGAGCTAGCTAGACTTCAAAGATTAATTTGTGCTGTTTTTAACTCTTTAGATTACCCGTAGAATCCCTTTCACTCTTTGTAATGGCGGTGCCCTTCATCTGCGTTCGAATCGATGTAACAGGGCGGGCGTGTCTGACTTTCTGATTCTTCGCAGCTCTGTTACCCAGCCCGTCCTTCCCGCGCTATGTCTGTGAGGAGAGTTTCTTGGTTTTTCCGCACACAGTTCCTGTGCGTGTAGTGATCTTTCTCGTTCTAATAACTTCCACTGCACACAGCAGGGAGAAGTTAATCAGCGCTTATAGCGGAGAATAGAGTCTTGCAACGTGTGTTGTTCTTATTCTTTATCTTATTTCTTTACTTATTTACTCGAAACTGAGGTTTTCGCTAATTTCTCCATGCTCTCTCCCCGAACAGTCTGAACCTCAAAACTTAACTTTTCCCCTGTAGGAATAATTTTTCTCATAGGTTGCCTGTCTTCTCTCGCTTATCCGTAGTAGCTGGCGATGAGACAAATCTCTTTCCCTTGAACTTTATGACACCATTAGATGGGGTGGGGGCAGATACGCTTAAATCTTTATGGTCTGCTTGGAGAGTTAGAAAAAGGCAGTTTCGACATGAGAGAATGTACTTCTAATATTGCCTATAGAAATAAAGGAAGTCAAGAGAAATATCTCTAAAATGGACTGTCCTGTTTCTCTGTTGAACAGTGGTTTGAAGTGATCCAGAAAAAGAATTTAGCTGCCTCACTGCAGTTGCTAGTAATTGCTGATAACTAACTTTAAAGCTCCTTTTCAATTTATTGTGTAGCTTGAAGTTTCCTTGTTACCTAGTAACTTCTTAAAGTCAGATGTGGCTTTCCTTGAACTGAAAGTTTCACTTGAGCTAAATGTTTTATCATTCACTTTCTGAAATTCACAAGGTTTACTATTTTACATGTTAAAGGTTTTCTTATTCATCTTTGGTTTAGAATGTTTTGCATTCAGGGTCAAATAATTTTTCTTCAGAGGCAAAATAGTTCAGTCCTCTTCCTGAATTTGGGTAAAGTAGAGCAAGAATAGTAATGGACTTGGAGCTTTGTAGGAATAGTGTTAATGGAAAAGAATTTCTTAAGTGTATGCATAATGGGTATATCATTTATATACAATTTTTCAGATGGGAACTGGCTACTTACACATTTAACCCATCTCTGGAAGATTCTAAACTTCAATTAAAAAAAGAGTTAACTTTCTTGATACAATGCCCGAGAAGAAATCTTGCAATTAGATATTGGTTCATCTTAAATGTATAAAGCCAGATCTTGATTTGTGTGTTATGGTTCTTTTAAACAACATGATTAGAAATTATTTTTCTAGTCTTTGGTCCTGCTTCTAGGACTAACGCCAATCTGGAGAAGGCTTTAACAACGCACCCTGCCACCCAGTCCTGCACCAAATCCAATTTGGTCCAGTGGAATGACTGAGATATACCAAACCATGGAACAGTGCTTTGGTTTGCACATGCCAACATTCAGGCTATGATTTGTAATTCAAACTGGCAAATTATGTTTTGCTTTAAACTATGAACAGGGACAATTGTTGCTCAGGGAAGCGTGGTAAAGGGAATTTACAAGCCCATGACTGAGCCCATTAGGTTGTACTTTGCATTTTCTGTGCAATTAAATGTTGCAGTCTTAAACACATTTCTTGGAAGTAAGCCTCTCAGAAATAGAATCATGTATAGCATCTGGCTGTTGGATAATGATTCCACTGATTATGATGTGGAATTTCTGTTAAATGTGGGGAGGTGATCTAAATGCCTGGATCCATCTTTTGAAAATAACTACAGCTTATAAAACAAGTTGTTGTATATATTTGCTTTTCCTATGTAATTACATTTGGAAACAGTACAAAGTACCACTGCATTTAGTTGCTGCATCTCTAGACTTGCATCTCTAAACTTGCATCTCCACAGCAGAAGGCCATACAGGCCAATAATTGGCTCTGCATCAAGTATTCAGCCCAGTGTTCAGTGGTGGATAATGGTAGCAGCACCATATGATTGCTCACCTCTGGAGTCAGTGTTTGGAAGGATTCAGGTATCCAGGGCTGTATCATTCCCTACAGTTCCCATAATTGAGCAAAATAACAGGCTGATCATTGTTAGCTTCTTGACTCTTATGAGGCTCTCTGGAGAATTCCTTGATGTCTACTACAAGCAAGCAAGGTAAAGCAAGCTAGCTTATGTCAGGGTTAAGCAGCCTGGTACCCTCCAAATAATTTGGGTTACCATTCCCATAAGGGTTACGTGAGTTATAATCCAAAACTTTTGTAAGACACCAGGTTTGCTGCTGCAACTGAGGTAGTAATAACTTTATGTGGCATTCCAACACTCGTAAGTTAAACTGTATATAATTCAGATACACATCAGTTATGGGGGAGGTCCTTGAACTTGAGATGTGATTGTAAGCCACTTCCTGTGCGGCAACTTGATTAACAAGTTATTAATGAATGTGAGAAGGTGGTTCCCTTGGCAAAAGCAACTATTTGCTGCTGCTATTAGTACCAGTAATATAAGTTTGTATTTTTATGTCACTTTTCAAATCATTATTGTCTCTGAAGTGGGTAACAAAAGTCAGACAGCTTACCTTTGAATTGAATATATGAAGTGCAAGAATATAATCTGTGTCTGTTTTGTATATCTTTCAGATTGCAGCAAAAATTGGAAATGAATCAGGAACAACTGTGAATTCAAATGATTACAGCTATGGGGGACAAAAAAGACCACTCGAAGATGGAGGTATGTTGTTGATCAGTATATAAACTGCTAATATAGTCCATTCTCGAAATTATAAATGCTTGAAGAGTATGTAAGAACATGTTGAGAGTACCTTAATTTCAGGAATAAATATTTGAGAAGGCAGAGTAATCTATCTTAAACATAGACATAATGTTTAGATTATAGGGTACAATCCTGTGACATTGCTTGTAAGTCCTCAAATTCAGAGACTTGCTTACAAGTAGGAGGAGCTATGGAGGTGATCTCCTTCTCCCCTTCCTCCTGCTCTGCATTTTTGCTAGGTAGATTTTTTTCCCATCTAACTAGAGCATTTTAGACAGGGGAGGGAAATTGGCTGGAGGGATGTTGGGATAACTCATATCCTAGTCTCTCCAGTACTCCCCCATGCACCAAAACAGCCCATTTTCTCCCTCCCCAAGGACTTTGCTTTATTGCAGAGAGCAGCCAATATAATTCTTTCTGTGCTAGCTGCGAAGGAGGTTGGTGCTCTGATTCCAAGCTCAGATTGCCATGCCTACAGACCTCAGATCTGGGAATCCAAAATATCCAGTGGTCCCTCAGACACTGTGTAGGGGCCATCGGATTGCTCCTTTAGCTGTTCAAGAGTTTGCATCTACTTATATGAGTGGATAGCAGTGATATTCATATTTTAATAAGTTATGATAAGGTAGGTAAAATGTATTTAAAATACATTTTAAGTATGATATTGAAATCTTTGTATTAGAGTATTAAAGTTCTATAATCGTAATTTATTCAAATTCTGCTTGTACTCATATTTATGGTTTTCAAACCTGGGTGAGTTGCATTGTGCAGGTGCAACATTTTTAAATTTAGTGTATTCCATTGAAAATGCAGTAATTAAAGCTAGATTTGAAACAATGTCTCATTCTGTTTTTTTGAACTCTGATAAAATAATTCTAAACCTTGTAGCTGAACGGTGTTTTTCGTCTTTTAAAACTTGTTGGGCTAACAAAGTTTTACTATGTCTGTCTTCCAAAATGCAATGTATAGTACTTTTTAAATTCATGAAGACAGTTGCTGACCTTGGAGTATGTAGGTTTCAAAGGATTATAATTTTGTTTACAGAAAATTTCTAAGGCTCTTGACAAAGGAGTACTTGTGTACTTTATTAAAGTGCCTTTTTATTAATAGTGAGGCTTTTAATATTCAAAAATGAGCTAATGATGCTTCAAATGATGTATGTAATGTATTCTTTTTATTTTATGTGTAGATGGCTCTTGGACAAGTCCGAGCAGTACAACACACTGGGAGGGAATGCCCTCTCCTTTTAAAGGCAGGAATTTTTATTTATTACCTGTGTTTAGTATGTAAACGCGAAATGAACTAGTGGATCTTTTGAAATGGATGACACAAATATTTCTTGAAATATGTGTCCTACTGCACTTAATTATGGTGGTTCATTATATCCTGAATATGGGGTGGGATGGAAACATTTGAAGTAATTTTTATCGGATATTGGTTATCTACGACTTTCACTCATACTGAACCAATTTGGACAGTGATGGTAGTGGCTTTGAATCTGCTGTTTTGAAGTCTTATGCTGTGAAGTTTTCAGTAATTGGGTAGGATGTCTGTACAACAGTTCCCAGAAGGAGATTGTATTGCTATGTGTTGGTTAAATCTTAAATTTTGATTTCCTATTTAGTATGTGGTTGTTGTCAGACATAATTGTAAAATGATTATTTCTCACAATGGTGGTTGTTTCATTTTTTTTGTTACAGAAGCATCATTAGCTTTAGCGTCAAATTAGCAATAATACACTTAAATGCTTGTTAGTTATGTTTTAGTGACTGGACATCTGTAATAGTGTGTTTAAACTTGTGTACCTTATTAAACTGTTGAATATTTTATCTGATAAATGGAAATACTTTGCATTTTTCCCCTGATTATACTAACCAAGTGTTAAACATAAAAGATTTTTCCTTGTTTAGATGACCTATTCCTTGAAATTGAAAAAAAAATGCCTAAAGTGCATTCAACAAGTTGCATTTTGCCCTTCTGGAGCAGCCATTTATTTAAGTTGCCTATATTTGTAACCAAAAACATTTAAAAAAATCTTAATTTTTCAGATCAACCAGAACCTAAGAAAGTGGCTCCACCAAATAATGATTGTAAGTATTTTTTAAATCTTGCAGTACATTTATCAGTGTACTTCTGAACACATGTTTAATATTCTGTTCTGCAGATAATGGCAGCCTACTTTTGTTTATGTGCATGCAGTGGTTCCACTCATACCATGATTGTCTAATCTGGAAATGTGTCTGAGAGCCCCCTATAAAGTTTTTGTAACATGGCTCTGTGTTAATATAGGGTTTTAAAGCTAGTGTCCTTTTCTGTAGGCAACTGTATTAGTGGCTGATTATCGATGAAGTTTATCACAATTTTTCTGCTGCATACGACCTTTTATGTAAATGAGGAAACATGAGAAGGCAGTGAAACATAGTTCTCAAATGTTTCATTGAATATACTGTCCAGCCATATTCTCTCCTTGAGGACAATTTCTTGCTCAAACTCTTGCCTGTTCTCTTCTTCTCAACCTCTATATACCACTGCACTCAAATATCCAGAGTAAAAGGATTGATGGCAAATTTACACTATGCATTGGAAATAATACTTCATAAGCAGGTTTGTTTCCCACCTTCCATGTCATAAACCTATCCAAAGTGTCCCCAGAGCCTCAGAAAAGGCATTCTATGGGGTCCAGGAAGCTTCAGCAGGAAGGAAGGAGTAGGAAAACCTGTGTGAGCAGACCAAAACTTTAGTAATACTAGATCAAAGATACAACTTTTAGCCTTGATTTGGGACCAAGTTGCTTGGGTACCATTTTTAAACTAACCCTCTGGATGAAAAATAAAGTTACATCAAAGTAGAATAAAACGCTGTGTGAGCAGCAGCAGGATCAAAGTTGTATCAAAGTAGTGAGTTCTAGTATAAG